TGCTGCCCGGGCCTGTAAACACACGCAGTTAGTTTCTTTCCCTCCAAAGAGTCAAAGAGTATTTTGTCTCTTCCTGCTGCACCCAGAAGAGACCCCCTTGAGCCAACATATGTCTACAGATTGCAGCCCAGCCCTACAGTCAGGAGATTAAAGTTTTGGACAATTCATGGACATTTTTGCACTATTACCCTCAGCTACCATAGAAATCCCTCTGCATCCCATTACTTGAGATGTACTCATGACTGAACACACATTTCATTTCCTTTATAAAGCTTTACTGTTCCCCCAACTTCTCCCAATGTAAGACTCCTCACTCTTTTTCTCACCCCCACTGTAGCAGGTTCTAATTTGCATCATTGTATTTATGACAATTTTCCAGCACAAGTTCTTGTCAACTCTAAGGTCAGTTGGTCTGAAGCATCTGGCACATTCAGTAATGTTTATCTATTGAGTGAATGAACAAAATGAATGAGGGAAGAAAGAAGTAAAAACAAATATAGCTACTGAGTATTGCTCATAGCTAGAAATAACTGCCACTTTTGTGTATAGTATTTAGCAAACTCTGCTTTACATTTTGTAAAGAGCTGTTACATAGAAGGTCTTATGTGGTCATTACACTCACCCTGTTCTAAGTAAGAAATAGTTTCCTTTTCAGTGGAGGAGGAATTTGGTAATCAAAAGGTTAAGTGCCTTCCCCACATACACAGAAAGTGGTAAAATGAGATGAAAACTCCCTTCTCCAGTGTTCTGTTCACTACATTTCTGCTTACCTTCCTGTGGGTTGCCTCTGTGCAACACACATCTAACTCCCAAGAAGCCAACTGCACTAGGTCCCTTCCAAACTGTTCATCTTTAAATTTTTGTGAAGCTTATAGCTCTTGCAAATTGTAGTATGATATCAGAACTGTCTCTCAAAACTTTCATTCCCCTAGACCAATGAATAATTACACAGATTATCATTTTAATTAGGTCCTGTTAACATAGTTTTCAGTTACCTTATTTTTTTCTTTCATTTTGTCTTTCTCCATCTGCTCCCAACTCTACTCTCCCAGTTTCAGTCTATTTAAGGGACCCAGTTACATTCTTTTCATGTCTTTCTATTTTTTTTTTTCTGGTCAGCAGAGCTGCCAGGATATTTAATATATTATATTTTCTAAGCAAATATGTATCGAATTTTTTAGTTGGAAAGATATTGATAGATTGAAAAAAAAGAAAGAAAACTTCCGATGTTTCTTTAGCTTTGAAATAGCGAGAGGTCAGACAGTCATCAGGGAGCCAGCCTTAGAAGGTGGAAAGCTCATTTGTGTATCTTGCATCTTTTATAGAAAGAAACAATAGCAGCTCCCTCGGTTTGGAGCTCTTGGCGCCGCCTAGTGGAGGGAGGCATCTTTACACCTCCTTCCCCTCACTTGGCATTGTCATTATGTGGACACTTAGAAATGTTCAAATTAAGTATGATAGGAAGAAACACCAGCTCCACGCTCATCATAATGTGTGAGTGAATTTCTTCAAAGTTAAGTTTCATTTTTAAAAAACTGAATGCTCTAGTTTAAACACAATCCCAAATACTAAATCTAGATGGTGAAAGCGGATCGTAGAGAGTTTATTTAGGAACAAAATTTGTTAAGATATTCGAGTGTTTGGATCATTCTCTGAGGTGGGAAAGGAGCATCTTTGATGCTGATGGGCAGTGATGTGTCCTTCAGAGCCTGAAAGGAAAAGTTTGTTCTCTATTACCCACAGTTGGCAATAACTGCTTTCTAAGCCAAAATTCCAAATCTTCTAAACATTAAACAAGTTTCTTTTTTTTTCCTCTTCACCTTCTCCTTCTCCTAAGGAAATGAGGGCCTGAAAGTGAATGATTATATTTAAACTCATGTCAATTTAGGGACTCTCTTTATTTGTATTTTAAATCCATTGGGAAAATCTAAGATTAAATCCAGTTAAGGCATTTCCTTTCATTTAGAAATGTGATATATCTGCATCCTGTTGTGTTTCTGAATTGTGATTTTTAAAAATGAAAAGTGAATTATGTTTGCCAGAATATGCATGACTCCTTGGATGTATATATTACATACTTTCAAAAATATGCAAGAGAGGAATGTGTCTGGAGAAAATAGAACATAGAAAAGTTAAAACTCCAGCTCTGAAATTTTTTCTTCATTTAAGTTTTCAATTTGGTCTTCAAGTCCATCTTTTGAATCTTCAGGCCACTATTAGAATAAAAACCTTGATAAAGTCAAGGTCGTGTTTTCCCCTCACCATTATTGCTCCTGGAAGTTGATCTAACACCCACCCAGAGAAATCTTCTGTGATATTAACCTTTTCTTAAGAAAATATAATTTGAGACATTCACAAAGTGGGGCCTACTGGGTTCCCGTTTGATTCGCTTTAGAGTGGTCATAAAACATGCTCTCTCCCCTGCCCCCAAGACTTCGACCTTCCTCTCTCCTTTTCTTTTCAGATTTCGGTTTTTCGTAGGGTCATATCTCCGTCGTCTCCCCTGCCAATGCTGTGAATTATTCCAAGCAAAAAACCCCCCTCGAACCGCCCAATACAAGCTGTGAGATCAGTCTTTTGAGCTCTTGAGTCATTTTAGGCGTCGGAACAAAACAAAAACAGGCTTAAATGAATTATTTATCAAGGTCGAGAATAATTGATTTGTGTAGTGCCGTCAGTTCTGGATTTTAAATTTGTTTTCTCCCCCTCCCCACTTCCCACCCTGAATATGCAGCGGGGAGTTCGAGTTGGAACCCCCAGGGCCAGGAGAAAACGCACCTCATTCGGGAAGTTGGTGGATGATGATGTTGGAATGGGAAGAACCCTCATCGATATTTGAAGAAGGAAGTGTAGGTAGCATCCGCCTGCAGTCTCGGGCAGCCCTAGAGCCCTTCCTGTTCTCCCCACAGTGGTCAACACTTCCAGGCGCGGGGTGCCCAGGCTGCGAGGCTGTGTGCAGCGCCCGGCCCTGCGGCATCGGATGAGTCGCCTTCGCAAGCCCACCCAGTGGTTTTTGGTAACCGCGGCCGGAAAGCCGAGGCTGGGCCCGCGAACTCTCCGGAGGGTCTGCCGGGCCAGCACTCAGTTCTTGCGCCAAAGGCGGCTGATCCAACCCCACTGCAGCTTATAGTGGCCCGACCCGACCCGGTGGGGCTCAGTCACCCTTCCCGAGAGCCTCGCCGCACCCCTCTGGCCAGCATCGGCCCCAGCCGGGAAGGAGCACGTCCCGCGTTCCCGCCTCAGCTCACCAACCCCGGCTCATCGGTCAAACTCCCCTCGCCTTCCGAGAAGAGCGAGATCTGCCCGGATTGTGCATCTCCTCGCCTTCGTCTCTTCTCTCCCCGCTGTTCTCGGAGGCAGCCCTAGGAAAAATGGCACGAAGACGATGAGAAACAGCTCAACCCACCCTCCAAATAGTGCAGGCTTTTTCTGGGTCAAACACACCGATTTCCCTAGGAAAACGCAGGCAGGGTGAGTCGCCCAGCTACCCCCTTCCGGGCTCAGGGCTCCACAGAAGCACTTCCGACCGAAAGGCAAGATCTTGTCCCAGGAGGTCATTTGCCTCCATGACACCCCTCCCTTCGTCCTCAATAGATAAAAGCTGTGGCCCAGAAAGCGACCTCCAGAACTGCAACTAAACCCCAGATCTCGGCCCAGCCTTTGGAGATGTTAAAGGCCACGCGAACATCATTCTGCACCTAGTCACGGGAGCGAGGCCCGCCCCGCAGATTCATAGGGTTCTTAAAATGGTAATTTGGAGTAAAATGTAACTCAAAGAACTTTGAATCATTCATTAGCACCTTATAATTACTCTGCTAATTAGGTTGACACGGCACTTAATCAGGAGTAATACGCCGTCTTGTCACTGGCACTTCCCATTACTCTGACATTCAACAAGAGACACGTTGGAGACGTCCTAGAGAAAATAACGCAAGTTGATACCCTCCGACGAGGCGTCACAGTCACGCCCCGAGTCCCCAGTGGATCAGCAGTGACTGTTTCCTTTCCAAATGAGCGTCCACCGAAGGGGGCCGGGGGGCAGGGGTGGACGGACTGCCGCAGGGCGCGGAGGGGGCGCGGGCTGCAAACCCACCGCTCTGGGTCCTGAGCCCCGCGCCCGCCTGACACCGCAGTGAACCGTGGCTGCCCTCGCCACCAGAGAACTCCTTGGGCATTAGTTCCCCTGTTCGGGAGAAAGCGTCTGGCCAGGCATTTCTTCCATCACGGGCTCTCACTGGAGACCAGGCGGGAGTCCCGGCTTGGAGCCTCAGGCCTCCTGCTCCCCGAGAGTGCCTGGTGAACGCGGCCTCGGCTCTGTCCCTTTCAGGGACCCGCCGCCCACCGCGCGGAGCACGAGCGCCCGAGTTCGTTAGAGGAGAAATCAGAGCCCAGAGCTCGCCCACCCGCTTAGGCTAGGCTCCGGCTCCTGAAGTGACAAACTTTTCTGTGGGTTCCTTCAGGGATCCCCTTCCTCCGCTCCCAGTGTCTTTGGACTATTCCCGCGCGCGTTTGGGGAGGCTGCGAGGGCTGCCGCGCTGGAGCCTAAAGGTAAGTCCCTTCCCGTCCTCCTTTCCCTCTCTCTCCTGACTTCTTAAGAAAACGGGCAAATCCTTGCTACTTTTTTTTCTTTCTCCCCTTTGGTTCCCTTTCTCTGGTCTCCCTCTGCTCTCTTCCCCCACCTGCCCCTTGGCCCGCACTCGTGATTGTGGACACCGGGACCACCGGACTCGGAGTCCGGCTTAGAGCTGCGGGCGCAGGGATGTGCGGGTTCTCAAAAGAGCAGTGGGGTCCGAGAGGCGTCCGCTGACGGGCTCGCGAGCGCTGCGCCTATTGGCTCCCGGCACGTCGGCGTCGCTGCTCGCGCGGGCGCGGCCAATGGGGGCGCGGGGCCGGTGCGCGGCCGCGGCAGCGGGGGCGCGGGCCTGGCGCGGCGCTGCGCGGGGAGCGGCTGCAGTGGCCGTGACGTCACGGGAGGGGGTCGGCGCCGCCCGCCGGCAGCCGGATTACAAGCGAACGCTCCCGGCAGCGGCCGGAGTCGCCGGGCCCCGCGTCTCCGCCGCCTCCTCCGCCTGCGCCTGCTCCTTCTCGTCGTACTCCTCTTCCTCCTCCTCCTCGGGCTGCCGCGGCTGTCGCGGCCGTGTGTGCCCCGCAACTTTCCAAGAAAGTTAAGAAACTCGGCTACGGGGCGGCCGTGTGGCGCGCGGCTGCCACCTCGGGAGCCGCGGGGGAGCTCCGAGGGCGCGCGGCCTTCCGGGCTTCGCGGTCGCTGCACCTGCCGCGTCCGCCGCCGCCACCGCTGCCGCCCGGTGCCAGGCTGTGGCCAGACCCCGGCAGCGGCGGCAGCGGCGGCGGCGGCTCCGGGGTCGCTTCCCGCCGCCTGCGCCTTCGCCTGGGTCCCCCGCGCCGCCACCGCCGCGCCACGTGCGCGGTCGTTCCTGGAGCGCACGTTCCGAGCTTTCTCAGAAATTTTTGTAACTCCCCCCGCATCTTTCTTTCTTCCCATCCCTACTTTTTGCATAAGAGAAAAAAAGTTGTGTCGAAAGTGTCCACCGATTGCCAGTTCCCAATTACCCTCCCTTCTCTCCCCGCCCCACTTTTTTTTTTTTTTAAAGCGGCGGCAACATTGTTTGGTGTTTATTTTGTTTTATGATCGATAGCTTCCTTCGCTGGTTCGGGGCGTCTGCTGAACGGCGGAGTGGCTTGGACCTCATGTAGAAATGACAACAATGGAAGGGGCCAGCGGGTCGAGTTTTGGAATAGACACGATTTTGTCCAGTGCCAGTTCGGGCAGCCCAGGCATGATGAATGGAGATTTCCGCCCTCTCGGTGAGGCCAGGACCGCGGATTTTAGGAGTCAGGCCACCCCGTCTCCCTGTTCGGAGATTGATACCGTAGGGACTGCGCCTTCTTCTCCTATCTCGGTCACGATGGAGCCCCCGGAGCCGCATCTGGTAGCAGACGCGCCCCAGCATCATCACCATCTCCACCATAGCCAGCAGCCGCCGCCGCCGCCGCCGGCCGCGGCCCCGGCGCAAAGTTTGCAGCCTTCGTCCCAGCAGCAGCCGCCGCCGCCACCACAGCAGCCGCCGCCGCCCGCCCAGCAGCTGGGCTCCGCTGCCTCAGCCCCCAGGACTTCCACATCTTCTTTCTTAATTAAGGACATCTTGGGCGACAGCAAACCTCTGGCGGCATGTGCACCCTACAGCACCAGTGTATCCTCTCCACACCACACCCCGAAGCAGGAGAGCAACGCAGTGCACGAGAGCTTCAGGCCAAAGCTCGAGCAGGAGGACAGCAAAACCAAACTCGACAAGCGGGAGGATTCCCAGAGCGACATCAAATGCCACGGTGAGTCGTTCTCGGCCGGCCGTCTAGCTTGTCCTCCTGGTTCCCAGTCTCCCCTTCAGCCTTCAGCAAATCCCTGCTGGGGAGTGATTCCAGGAGCTTCTCGGGCGATTGGGCGATAGTGGAAAGACTGCAAGCCGGAGGGAGGCCTGGGCGTGCGATTTGGGGACTCTTCGACGTTCTGTTTATTGTTACATTTCTAACCCACAACCTTCACCGCCATCCAACTCCCTCATTTGTTTTACTTAATTTTAATCTATTGGGGATTGAGGGGCATTGGAGGGCATCTGACAGGAAATACTTTTCTTTGATTAAAGGGATGGACTTGGGATTTTTCTAGTCGAGACTTTGGGAATGGGAATGGAGGGAGGTGGGAGAGAGAAACCACTTAGCTAGCGTGGGTGTGATCACAACCTGGTGTTTGTTTTATTCTGTAATGCAAATGATTCCACCTGCCCACCTTATTTTCTAAACACCATCACAGGAATTACCGGTTTTCATGAAGGAAAAATTTCTGAGTTCATGAACAGAGCAACTTTAGATCGTGGTTAGTATAGGGAAGCCGGTACAAATTTGTAATCAGTTTCTTAAAAGCACCTTTCTTACCCTATGGCCTCAACTGAATATCTGTATCCTGTGAAGATTTTTGGCCCCTTACAAGTAATTAGGAGGTATCATTTATAAAAATAAAATCTTATGAAATTGAATTAATCTCTTTTATGTTTTTTTGAAAAAAGATGACAATGGAAATTGTCCTTCAACTCTCTTTTCCCATTTTTCCTCAGACAATTTCATAAGTAAATGTAGTCTTTGCATGGCAAGAGTTTTAACATACCAGGAGCGATTTTTCTTCCTTTACAGACGTATTATTTATTATTATTAATCCTTGTTTTTCTGGTAAAGAAATGTGCTGACTGTCTGGAACGTAGGATGTTGGCTCCCCATTTTACTATTATAGCATTAGCATAATAGTGTCCAAAACAGATGTACAGTCTGGTCTGGCGATTTTTTGTGCACCAACCTCCCCAGTGGGTCAATTAGAGAGATTATTGTTCTTCCTGCAGGGAAGATCAAGGAGCACTGCACAAACGGGTACAAACAGGGAGGGATTGACATATCGATTTCCCAGCATTTCAGTAAAAAACCAAAGTTGACAAATAGAATCCGGAAATCTCCACGCTGTCACCTGGATGGGCTCAGTGCTTTTGAGCTCAACTCGGTGTCTGGATGACATATTGTTTCTGAAGCTTTAAAAGAACTGATGCAGGTGGCTTCAGAAAGCTTGATCCCAACATTTCCCAAATGCATCTGATAAAGAGAAACATCCAGAACTTTAAGAAAAAAGTAAAATGAAAAAGATGCCCCCTCCTAAAAAAAAAAAGAGTAGAAAGACCCTTTGAAAAGTACCAAATCAGTGAAATAGAGTCATTGAAAACAAATAAAGAAAAGGGACAGCATCTCTCTCAATCAAGGAAGCAATAACAAAATAACCCTTTTTAAAAAGTTTATTTTTTTTAATGTTTACTTTTTAACTTCCAACCATGTGAAGATCAGGCACCCTTTTAGACCCCCTTTAGAACCTCTGAACAAGGTCCTGTACTCTCCAGTCTGAAAACAGTCCTCTTCATCCATACGGGGTAAGGCCTGAATGTGTGTGTGTTCTGCCGGTGGCAGAGTGTAGTCCCCCGAGCCCAGTGGTTTGCTTGGGAATATGGAAGTGAATGCCAAGACGCTCAGTCATTCCCCATTGCAGGCTAACTTATGACTGTGACTGGGTTTCTATGGTAGGGACAAAGGAGGAAGGAGACCGGGAGATTACGAGTAGCCGTGAGAGTCCCCCTGTGAGAGCCAAGAAGCCTCGAAAAGCAAGGACTGCTTTTTCCGACCACCAGCTCAATCAACTGGAGCGTAGCTTTGAGCGGCAGAAGTACCTGAGTGTGCAGGATCGCATGGACCTGGCTGCAGCACTCAACCTCACTGACACCCAAGTCAAGACCTGGTACCAGAACCGCAGGTAAGGGAGGCAGTTTAGGGGAACAGAGGTGTCTGGCCATTTAAGTCATGACCATTACACCAATCTTCTTCCCTCCTGGCTTCTAGAAACTCTAAAGACTGAGAGTTAGAGACCCTGGAGTGGGCACTTGGGTGCTTTAAGGTTGAGGCAGGGATGAGCCACACCCCCAAGTGAGAGGGACCAAAGGGCAGCTGGAATTTGGATAATTTTGCACTTCTAAGTGCTTTAACAGGTGCTATTTTCCCTCTGAAACCCGAGCTGCTGGAATTCCCCCCACTTCATCCCCAAATCAATGAAGCCACACCTTCTCAAATTGAGACATCTGTGCAGCTGACATTCAGGCCCAGAGAGCCTGCGCGGTGCACCCCTTGGGCCCGCCCCAGGCTGGTTCCAAATGTTTGTAGCGTAACACAGCTCAGCCCAGCTATTGCTATCTCCATAGAGCTGTCCCACCAAGCGTTGGCGTAAATGTCCTTGCTTTGGCCTGTAAGGCGGCCAGGAGAAGCAGGGTCCAAGCCTTGGTCAGTGTAGCTGCAGAGACTAGGAGAGCCCAGCTGGGTTGGAGTAGGTTTGGCAGCCACAGGCTGGAGAAACGGGTGGCTGGCGAAGCATCCAGACTGGGAGAAGGAGGGTGTGGGGGTCTGTTCCCTGTACTGGCTGCCTCTGCTGTCTCAACATGGAGCAAAGGTGTCGCAGAGCCTGCCTGGCACTGCTCCTTCTCTAGAAGGGAAATTAAGAAAGCAAAGTGGCTGGTAGTCCTCACAGGGCTGCAAAGTGTAGAGTGGAACCTGGGCAATCTGAGGCAGAGGCAATGCTGTGTTTTTAAGCCTGCCATACGTCTCCTTGTCTCGATTTTCTCTCCCCCTCCTTTTCTCTCGTTTGTGTTCTAATCGTCCATAAGTGTGGTTGGAAATGCCCATCCAGTTGTCATCTTTACCATAATTTTCTGTCTCATTACATACGGTTTCAGCCACCCTAATTCTGTCAGAAAACATTAGCATCATTTGTAGCCAATTTAAAATGGGCGACATGTTTATTAATTTGGCTGGAGCTGCCGGGTATGCATGGCCCACCAGCCCTGCGTTCCTTCGTAAGGCATTTGAGCAAATGCCTGCTCCTCTCTTCTTCCTAGCAGGGTGTACACGGGGGAGGGAGGAGACAGAAAAAAGCTGATCACAGGTTTTAATTGTTACTTTCTCCCTGAGGAGGAAATATCTTGAAATGCATTTCCCCCCTCAGAATGGCCAGGAGGTACTTTGCCCTTGGGAGAGCCCTCCCTCAAATGAATTCCATTTTAAGACTTTGTTGCCATCCTCCCCTTAAGCTCCCTGTCCACTATAAAGTCCTGTCGGCTGATGAGAGAAATGTGTCTCTCAGCCCTGGGGACTGAGAGGGGCTGTGGTCCCTGGCCCAGGAGTCTTGCATCCCTTTGTTTATGGTTTCTTCTGTCTCGGCCCTGGGGGAAGGAAGAGAGGCTGAAAGCAGACTCTGGAATTGTTGGGCTCGGAGGAGTTGTGGAAGGGGAACTAAGGAAAGAGGAAGGTAATTGCTTGTGGAAGTCTCCTTTGGCTCTAAGGAAAGTTTCAGGAAGTAGCCAAACTGTAAGAGGGACAACAGCAGAGCAGAGCGTTGGGAAAGGGCAGCAAGGCTTGTAGGATTTCATTTGTGAGAGTCTCAGCCATTGAAGGTGTAATTCACAAAACTGACTTTGGGTTTGGGTCTTTCTGGGAGCAAGGCTAGGGCAGGAGATGTGGTGCATTGCCAGTCTGAAGAGGTCTGTGAGTCTTCCAGCCACCTAGGGGAGAAAGAAGGAGGAGGCAGGAGGGTGCCAGAGAAGGGGCCGGGTCTTGGTGCCTGGACCATGCCCACAGCTGCTGGGTGCCTGCACGCCCACTTTCTTTCAGGACCAAGTGGAAGCGGCAGACGGCGGTGGGCCTGGAGCTGCTGGCTGAGGCAGGGAACTACTCGGCGCTGCAGAGGATGTTTCCGTCGCCTTATTTCTATCACCCAAGCCTGCTGGGCAGCATGGACAGCACTACGGCGGCGGCAGCTGCCGCTGCCATGTACAGCAGCATGTACCGGACTCCTCCAGCACCCCATCCCCAGCTGCAGCGGCCCCTGGTGCCCCGCGTGCTCATCCACGGCCTAGGGCCTGGGGGACAGCCAGCCCTTAATCCCTTGTCTAGCCCAATCCCGGGCACCCCACACCCCCGGTGAAAACCTGCAGTGAAGGCACTGCAATCCCATCCCCAAGTCCCTGGCCAGCCCGGACTGCTGCTCCTCCTCTCCCCTGTCCAGACCACTAGGCCTCTCTTGCAGCCGACTCTGGAAGGCAGAGGAGTAAGAGAGGAAGATGCTTACCAGTGGGCAGGGGGGCCCCCAAAGAGGAGCCAGCCCTCTGCTCTCCATCTCCCTACCCCTAGAAACAGAGCTGGAAAGCTCCCCCACAGCAGTGTGACTGGCGACAACGCTGACCCCACACAAAGTGCGACCAGTAAGTGAAAACATCAAAAAAACAAAACCTCAAACTCTTTTTAAAAAAATGACTTTAGGGACAAGCAGGAGGGAGGGAGGGGGGAGGGCTAAAGAGGGGAGAAAGAAGGGCACGGAGCGGAAACTGCACAGGCAGAGAGAATTGTAGATGGACAGCCAGCCTCAAGTGCTGAGGCAAAAGGTGTTGCCGAGGACATTCCGTCTGCCCCAGAGAAAAGAGGAGGGTAACTGAGAACTTTGCACTGATTTCTCATGACCTTTTTTCTTTTGGAAAAGTGGCATGCTCCATAATATGAAAAAAAAAATGTACATTTGAAAGACTGAGTGATAAGTGATATATCATATTTATTATATGTTGTCCAAAAAGAGTCACTTATATACGTTAGTAAAAACATGATTTTTCTTTTCATGTCTTTTTGATTCAGTAAAATAAATGCTTAGACAAAAATATAGATTTTTTTGTGATTGAAAATTACAAAAATAAAGTTTATCTTTTTTTAACAAGTCATGAAATCCAAGGGAGCTGATTTTACTAAAGCAGAATGTACAATGATAAAATGCTGACCTGGTTTAGAACAATAATTTTTTTCTGAAATATTAGGAATTTACAAAATCCATAAAGATGTTGGGTTGGCTTGTAAAAAAGCAGCTCCATTTTTCGTGCTGGCCTCTTCGGAGCCATTTGATATGTGTGAGTTTCTTTGTAAGTGGATGGTTTCAAAGCAACCCAGGAAGCGGTGGAGAAAATCTGTACTTGTAGGCCGTTGGTGCTGGCTAAGTCGGCGGCCAACTTTGCTGCGGTCCTGGCCTGCATAGAGTCCCCAGCTTGACCGGCGTGGTGATCCCTCTGTCCACCCCTCCTCCTTCTCTTGGGTGTCGTCCTGGGGCAGCAAGGGTCCCAAACGCCGGGCAGTGATGACATCGCCGGCAGGGGCTGGGCGGCGGGCGGACGCTCCTCGGGCCTGGCAGCTGTTCTTCTGCCGGCGGCTGGGCGCCCGTGCGTTCGGACAGCCTGCGAGCGGGAGGCTGTGGGACGAGCAATTAGGACGCCCCCAGGGGACTTGGAGAGGCCCGGCTAACAAACCCTTGTGGCGGCTTTGATCGTTGCCTTCTCAGTCCCTGGTGGCGGGCGTCCAGTCTCCAGCCCCATGTGGAGCCGCTTGTGCTAGTGAGTTCCTTGTGCTGTGGTGCCTGGAGCGGGAACGCAACGGTGAACTCAGGCTGAGACTGGCTGCCAAGGCTTTTATCTGCACCCCTGGGACAACTGGGACTGCAAAATAGGAGACCCTGTCCGGAGTGTGGAGGATGCCTGCTGCCTACTTTAGGAGTATGTATGAGAGTGTGTGTGTGTAAGTAAATGTTTGTAGCATCCTGGCTTAACCGTAAGCCGCCCCCCCCATGTGACTCCCCACCAGGCTCAGTGCTCAGGACTGTGTGAAGGAACAACTAAGTGGAGGGTACAGTTCCCAGACTGTTCCCACTCCTCTCCAGCCCCCAGGTCACTTCCCCAGTAGCCAGTCAGATTCCCAATCTGGGCATCCTCACATTTCTATCCTCACGCCTGCTCTTACCCCTTTGTACAGTGACAAAGGGATAAGACAAGCAGCTAAAATACATTTGGACCTGGCCTCCAACTTTCTCTGATGCTTGAATCTTAGCGTAGTTAAAAATGTTTTTAAAAATGTGAAGTGATGTGGGAATGTATATTTAGGAGGGGTGGGAAGGAAGAAGGGAAGAAAGGTGAAATCCAGGCAGAAATTGCCTGGGGACGCCTTGATCAGACCTTGGCTAATTAGGAAGTGGTTTGCAGATTTCTCTCCAGCTCATCAATTTGCTTTAAACTTGGTCTTGGTCTTGTTTGATTCTAACAAAAGGGTCTGGACTGGCCCTTCTCATTTTCTGCCTGCTTAGCTGAGACAAACTCAGACAGCTGGGCTTGGCTGGAAATTGGGCGTCACTATGTCCAGCGGGGATGTCCGATGCCTAGGCACTTAGCAGACCCTCCTTGTTTCATCTTGCAGTTAGGTTTTTTGATCAAGTTTAAGCAGTTTAAAAGTGGTCTGCCAAGGCCTAAAATGGCCCTCTCTAAGGTTTGAGGGTGCTACATCTTCTGTTTGCACTGCAACTGGGGCTGGTCAAATGCCGGCACGAGGAGGAATTTGAGAGGCCATAGAGTTCACTCATACAAAGAATCAGATCCAGTTATGAAAACCACGCAAAACTACAACTCCAAATAAGGCGAGAGCACCCATTTGTTGTCAGCAGTCCCCAACCACCTGCACGGAGGTGGGCTGGGAAGTCCGCCCACTGTAACTTTACTCTTGAGTCTGAACTTGGACTCTTGAGGTGGACAATGCAGGAGGAAGCACTGTGCCTACAGAGATCAAGATTTCTTAATTAACCTCATATTCCTCTGCTGCTAGCAATCACTCAGGATCTGTTAGAGTCCTCCCTAAATCCAAGTTTCTTCAAAGTCATGTTTTCTTTCACTCCCTAAATCATGCAGTGGAATGTGTCCATGTCTTTTCTAAATTTGTTTTGGTTACCTGCTGTTGCATATAAGTTGGCAGATTGGATGTGGGGGGTGGGGGAGATTGTCCCAGGAAGAAAGTTGGGTGAGTGCCTGGTTCCTTCATTTTTTTTTTTTTTCCTGCAGCAGTACTGCAAAGGGCACATCAGCAGGTGCCCTAGTATTCAAAAGTCCCTGAACTACTGCTTAAAAGTAAAATGCAAACCCAATTTTTTTCTTCACAAAGGGTCCTTCTTTCCTATTGTGCCTGCTCAACTAAACTGGGGGGTTGGTTAGGAGGTGAGAAGTACAACCCCAGGTTTGCTGAGAAGCAAGGAACAAGGGAACAGGCAAAGCCTATTCTCATGGGAAATCTGGAGTTAAAGAGAACCAGAAGACAGCTGTTCCTGGGAGCTGTACTGTTTTTCTTTTTCCCACCTTCAGCTGGTGTCTGAAGGGCACTCTGGCTGGACTTCGATTGCTCCTTTGATTAAGTTGGAGGCTAAAAAAACAGGGACTTTCAGTGGCAATCTTTGCTTCCTACAGAAACACAGTAATACAAACTTATTTCAGAGAGATGTTTAAAAACCTGCAAAGGCCTCTTAGATTTGCCAACACAAAGATCAGCTCAGGGACCCCAGCAAACCTAGCACAAATCTGTAGTGAGCATGAAGGAAGAAGTTAACTCCCCAGCTAGCAGCCAGCTGTTCTAGCCCTAGCTAGTGATTTTTCAATGAGTTGCAAAGTAGTGATTGCTTCTTGGATCCATGCCTCCAGCAAAGATACCTACCACCCTGTATCAGTTTAGTTTTACTCCACCCCTTAAAATGAAAGCCCACACGGTGGCAAATTAGACAGCTGATTTCCTCCCTTGCAAATAAAACTACTTACTCTCCCTCCTCCTCCCTCCCTGCCATCTGACTCCTGCCTAGGCAGCTCTTCCCCAGGAGTCTGTCAGATCCCACCTCCCCTTTTTAAACTTGATCCTCCCCTTTTTAAACAAGCGGCTTGTGAGTAGTTTGTTTTGTTATGTTTTTAACTTTCTAAAAATATTTGGAAAAGCTCTCCCCAGGGCTAGGGAAACTTTAGTTCTTGTTAAGCCATGTGGTTACAAAAATATCCTGGAAGAGAGCTGCCTGGTTTTTGAAATCAGCATGCTTGGAAAGAATGAGATTTTTCACCACTGGTGGACATGATCAGGGGCAGGGTCAAGCCTTGGAGGGAAGTGATGTTTCTTTTGCATCTCTGAATCCTTGGTGAGGGAATTTGGGGTTGCCCTGTGCCCTGGCTGTTGACTAGAGAGAAGTATGGGCAGATGGGCGAGTGGGGCTTCTCCGGGAATTACTCCTATGGACTCTGGAACAGTGTCCCCAAGCTCTTTGAGTCTCCCCCTAGGTCTTTGTCCAGTCCCACTTTTTGGTCATTTCCAGGCTTTTTTGCTAACATTTGTGTCTTTTTCTGAAGTTAAGGCCTCTTATCAGGGTCCGCTGCCCAGTGCCCTGACTTCTTACTTCATCCCCAGGGTTGGGTAGGGGTAAGTGAGAGGGGTGTGTGGGGGCTGTGGGGAGGTGTCATTGGCCTCTTGGATTAGGAAACCAGGTCAGCTGTCTCGGGCGATGAGATGACCCAGAAGGGACTATTCACCCCCCCACTTCCGGGCGAATTTTGAAGGTCTCTGTCGGTTTGAGTTTTGTTGGCTGGACCGTCTCGATCAAGCCCACATTCTCAGTTTTTCTCCTCTCTCCTCTCCTTGTCTCGTCCACTGGGTCTCCCTCTCCCGGTTTCTCTCTGCTAGCACCACAGACAGCTCCCAAGGCGCGCTGAGGAGTTAGGTGCCCGGGGCTGGCAGGTTCCGGAAAAGCCCAGGCGGCTGCAGGGGGCGCGTCTGGAAGAGTCGGCGGCGCCCGCCCGCGGGGAGGTACCTCCCCAGCAGCATTTCCTGATTAGCTCTAAGTCCAAACAGGGTCACATTCCAAAGAACAAAATCTTCAGATCAATAAAGTAATTCAAAACCTCAAAGATCTCGGGGTAAGTAGTGCTCAGTGACAGATCAACTCTAAATCGTCCCTATTTAATAAGTTCTTAGCGGAAGCCGATGCGGGAGGAGCGGGGCCTCAGGTCTGCGGCTCCGAGCGCTTGCGCCGCGGCTGCGACGAGGGACGAGGTGGCCAGCGGAGCCCTTCTCAATGGCACACACTTTCTCAGTTCGCACGGCCTGGAGCGCGCTCGGCGAGCCGCCACCTGGGCCACCACTGGCAGAGCGAAAGAGCTCCCCAGGCGGCCGACCTGCAGGGTGCGCTGGGCCCAGGCCCGGCTCCCCACCGCGGCTGTCGGAGTGCCCTCGCCCTACGGATTTGAGTCTCTCCCAGCTCCTGCTACTATTGGGTCCGGGACAGTGGGTTGCCCCAGCTGGAGCTCCGCGGAAAGAAGGGGACCTTCGCGAGCGCGATATTGAACTTGATTTACGATAAAAGGGCCCTGTCACTTTGTGGGGCTGATGGATTCCCGCCCTACCCACCCCCATTCCCGCCGTCAGACTTGATTCTTGAGTGAAGAGGCCCTCAGTGTGGCTGTCCTCCTGCCTCCTCCTAACGATTCGCACACACGTCGCAGCCAGGGATTTGGCGCGGCGGCCTTGAAGCCCTGCAGTGGTGCGCTGGCTCCGCGCGGGCCCTTCCTTGCGGAACCCCAGCTGGGCCCCGCGCTCCTCTGCCCCCAGGACAGCCCAGCAGCTGCGAGTTCCTGCGCCGGGTTGCAGACAGCGCTTCAGGGAGGCAAGGGTGCATCAGGACAGGGGCCCTATAGGCCTGGGACAGGAAATCCAGACGCTTTCAAGGACGGTGCTTAGGATGGCCTACAGAGCAGGACCCTTCTCTCACATCTCAGTGGGCTCTGGAGGGAATATAAAACCTCCTCTTGTGAAGACAATAAAATAGTCTTTGCCCAGTTGGGAGCTCTTATCTGCATCCAGTTTCCCTCCCATACTTCTAAAGGC